GGCGAAGCCACTTTGACCCCGCTCTTTGTCCCCCGGGCATAATATATCAAGGTATTGTGTGTTTTTTTTAATATTCAATAACTTTTCAAAAAAAATGATAGGTGGACGAATAACCCGTTGACGTCTAGAGGTCTGACGATGAAAAAGAGTTGAAAGTGCCTAAGGTATAAAATATTGTCGGCGTACGAGGGCACACGAAAAGTTGAGCTTACTGAGGGGGAGTAATCTATTTACAAATCGAGAAAAACAAATTCAACAACAATTTAAAGCCCTAAAACATTGAATCAATCGGTTTTTCAATCAAAGCTTAAATGAAAACTGGAGTTGAACAAAAACAAGTTTGGGACTTCAACCTCCAAAAGCGGACTCCTATTGAGAAAAATTAAATTAAAACCTTTTTAAACGTACGAGAGTTTTGCTTACATAAAAAGCTAATTTTTTCAATATTCACGCAAAAAAAGAGAAACAGCAGTAAAACATTCTTGCTAAATTACTCTTTCATTAGCTCTGTCTTGAACTTCGCTTTCCCATTCACCCTATCTCTTCTTATCACCAACTTACTAAACTGTCAGTTACATTTTATATTCCTACGACCTTAAACGTCAAACGCAACAAATCCATGCACAATCATAAAATTGTCCCTCATAAAATTCTCTAATCTTTCGAGGGGGACGATCGGATATTTATAATCGGCCAATACGTTCGATCAACTCCTTTTAAAACGGCTTAAAAAAGATAAATGTTACGATTTTCAACAATTTAATTATATGGAATCATCAACGAACCCTGAACTTTTACAATTGTACGGGCACGTAAAAATTCAACAGGTGTATGAGCGGAAATATCAATAAACCCAATTCGATGTTTGCTGTTTGTTGTTTTCTTTTTTAGCTTGGAAAAAAATTTTTTTGCAGCAGGACATAAATTTTTTATTTCCCTCATCTCACCGGCTATATTTATAGTAATCCGTGTGGAATGATGCTTCCCCCACGCACCACCTCAACCCCGTGGGGGCTTAATCCCCCTCTTACCCCTAAATCTCTTTTAATCCCTTAACAATTGGGACGATTGAGAAGTTCCTTATTGTCAGATTGCGGGCGAGTAAAAAAAAAAAAAGGAGAGATATAGGGTTTTCAAAGGAGGAAGTGTGCCGTGATATTTTTCACCCCCCGGTATCTTTCACAGGAGACGAATAAGAAGATTCAAGAGGTTTTTCATTTTTTTTTATCTCCCAATTTTGTGAATGTTGAGCGAGGTGGGATCCTGAATTATCTCTCTGCTACCCTTTACTGAAAAATGACGTCTTCATCAAAACTAGGCACCCAGGCCTGGGCCCAAATGGATAAAACATGATATATTACATAATAACGCGAGTTTAAAAAATAGAAGGTAAATGGGAGCGAATAAAACGTTGAGAAAAAAACTAAAAAACACATTCTTAATAAAGAGATGTTTTTAAAGAAATCGTTTGAATAACTTTTCATGTTGAAACATCAAATTTGTTTCAAGACGTTTAATTATATGGAACGTCAAGTTATAAACGAAAGTTTGATTTATGATAGCCGTTGATTGTCCAATGGCGGCGTTAAAAATAGTTAATTATGGCTTCGTTAAAAAGTTTTCAATTGTCTAATGACTTGAAAATGTCTAGGTTACATGGTCATTTGTAGAACAACGTCAGAGAAGGTGTGCCCAGGTCAAAGGAATAAATTCGAATGACGTCAAAGTGGACCTGCTAATTTAATAACTTTTACGTCGTTAAGGAATAGAATATTTTAGCCAAGTCCACTTTGACGTCATTTCGATTTATTCCTTCGATCTAGCATACCTCCTTTGACGTCGGTCAATTTTCGACGCTGCTTAGCCACGCCCACTTTGATGTCATTAAACAGTTCACCAACCAACATAGCTATCGATACTTTGACGTCATTTCGATTTATTCCTTCGATCTAGCATACTTCCTTTGACGTCGGTCAATTTTCGATGCTGCTTAGCCAGCAGTTCGATCGCATTATCGATACTTGGACGTCATTTCGATTTATTCCTTCGATCCAGCCATACTTCCTTTGACGTCGGTCAATTTTCTATGCAGCTTAGCCACGCCCACTTTGATGTCATTAAACAGTTCACCAACCAACATAGCTATCGATACTTTGACGTCATTTCGATTTTTTCCTTCGATCTAGTCATACCTCCTTTGACGTCGGTCAATTTTCGATGCATCTTAGCCACGCCCACTTTGATGTCATTAAGCATTTCTCCAATCAATATAGCTATCGATACTTGGACGTCATTGCAATTTATTCCTTCGACCTAGCCACCATAGCTATGGCTATGGACGTCATTATTCAATTAATAAGCATTTAAACCACACCCCTTTCGATAATGTTTATCATAAAAAATGCTGAAATAAGTACCACATCCGAAATCCCAGACGCGAATTTCAAACTCAGAATGATGTTTTACGCATATAAACAATAAATAATTTAACATGATTAACAAACAATACATTAAAAACAAAAAAACAGCTCAAATCATAAACCAGAATGCGTGGTGAAAACGTTCGGCCAGCTATAATCGTGGACTTGATAATGGTTCAATTATGGTCAGAAGATGCCGAGAAAAGACCCAAGCTTGATCATGACATCATTAATCATGGACTGTTCTCAGTTTGACATTAGTCATAAATTATACAATTTAAAATTTTGTTCAAAATAGGTTAAGTAAGAATGAACTTGATTACGTCCAAATTTGAGGTTGAAATTTGGGTTTAAATATCCAAAAATAATAATAATATTAAATAATCGATTGCCGTTTCTTTAAGAAAAAAGAGGCCGTGGAGGTTTGTTTGTTTTCCCGGTTATAATTCAACAAAGGATCCAGCCTTTGCCTTTTTCCTTCTTGGCTTGTGGGCCTGGGGAATCCTTTATTGGATTTGCTCATCCGTCAACCTCGGATTGATCTTTGACGTCGTTCGGCCTCGCTTTTTCCACGGCGCGTACTGTCAAAATGCGAAATGGAATTTCGGCGTTCGCAAACGGAACGGAGCGAAGTTTTGGCAAAACAACAGCCAAAAATTCCTCCAACTATTAGACAGAGGGGTTCAATTCGAAAATTAATTGCGACGTAATTTGCAGAAGGAGCGAAAAATTCCGTTTAATTTAATTAATTAAAAAACTCCCTTTCTTCTTTTAATTATATTCAAATTGACACAAAGGGAAAAATAATTTCGAATTAAATTCCTCTCGCGGATGACATTTTGTTAATTTTTAATCGATAGCCTAATATACGTTTAGATTTGCATGGTTTAAATTTTCACTTTGTTAGTGCCAAAATTAAAACAGCTTTCTTAGAATTTTTTTTACCATCTTAAATATTTTTCACTTTACCAAACGTTCGTTGTAATATGTGAACTTTTCAGTTTTTTTATACGTCGCAGATTAGATTTTTTTAAATATTTAAGTTGGTTATTTTCTTATTCAGTGATGAGCTGGCTGTTGAATAGACTGGTGTGTAACAAGTCGTGGCTAACGCTTACACTGACAGTTGATCAAACTGCTTAGCCACGCCCATTTTGACGTCATTGAATATTTAATAAACTAGTTAGCCACGCCCACTTTGACATCATTGTTCAGTTGGTAATTATTATTGCTATCCACTATGACCCCTTCGATAATGTGTTAACCAAACTAGTCAGGTCTATTTTCAAGGCATTGGAGCTAGGCTCCATTTGTTTTCTTTCGACGATTAATTGGCAATAGCCACACCCTTTGCCATCTTTAGAATAAGAAATGTCATTTAGCCAACGCCCACTTTGACGTCATTGTTCAGTTAGTAATTATTTAACCACTACGACCCCCTTTACGTAATAACTAGATTAGTCCCTTCTACTCTGACTCAATTGGATAAAATACAAGCAAGAGAGTCAAGCTCATATTGACGTCATTGTGAAATTGGTAATCATTTAACCACTCCGTTGGTTAATTGACAATCCAGATTAACCGCACCTATTTTGACCTTCTTGTCAACTGGATACTTGAATAACCAAATCAACCACACCCACTTTGACTCTATTTGATATTATTATCAAACCAGTTTATCCACGCCCGCTTTGACTTGAAATCCTTCATCGACCATAAAACGATATTTTCCCTGGGTGCCTTGTCTAAAACACCTTATTTACCACAATGAACAATTAGTAGAACTTGTTAAAATGGTAACCACGCCCACTTTGACGTCATAAACAATAATCAAAATGGTAGCCACGCCCACTTTGACGTCATAAAACAATTAACCAAACGGCTGAACCAAGCTCACCACATGTCGTTGGACAATTGCCGTTGCAGCTTATTATCTCTACTTTGATTGCAGGTTTCTACTTAAAGTAAATTTTATTGCAAAAAACACCAACATGGCCATAACCTTATTGACGCTAGTGAAAATGTTTAAAACCGGGTTAGCCATAGTTTATATTCATTGGATAATTGATAAATCAGCTTGTTGACCTCGATATATTTGGTAATTGGCAATTAATTAAATGAACTGGGCAGACTATCCAACTGTCTGCGTAATCACGCTCACTCAGAAATGAACCTGCAACCATGATCAAGCCTTTGTTATGTATATGCTTATTACCCACAATCGGTGGGGGTATTGTTTCTACGCAAGAAACGACATTGTAAGTCGTGATTTCTCGTCGTTTTGGACGAAATTAATCCCTTTTCACTTTCGTGTGCGCTAACCCGGTCACGGTGCGTCTAACTAAATTATTTCAGACTTTATTAAAACCGCGCGAATATCGCAAGTTCCTTTCCGGCTCGGCGGACCAACAACGCGAAATTTCCTTTTCTCACCTAAGGTGTTAGTGCGAAGTTGTTCAATCGAGAAGTCGAACCCGAAGTCAATTACGTCCGCTTAATCTCGTTGTGCCGTATAGTTCTAGAGCGGTGGACACTTTTATCTATTTATTATTGACTTTGTACTCTCACTTAAAGAACCGAATGAATGTAACGGACGGGTCACTCGAACTCGATAATTACCCTTTAAGAACATTCTTCGAACGAGGACGTAGAAGGATGCCGTTTCAAGGTCCTCGTAGGAACAAAAGGGATCCGATACAGGACCCTTTGATACGTAGGAAGCCTGATAGCCGAGAAGGTGATATCGACCCGTCCTAAGTGACCGTGTAAACTGTTTATCCGAGGCCACACCGAAGATCTAATTGGGTTAGCTCTTCACATGTTGCTGTTTTACTCGGCGTGTCACAATTGCACTCCTCTTGAAAATCACCCGATCGCCCAAGGAAAAGTGGAAAAACGCGTGTTGACTTGATACAAAATAAAATTAATAGACCTCATCCTAAAGCTAAGAAATACTAAAATAAATATTTGCCCTCTTCCTCCCTCTCTTATTTTATATCTCTTGATTTTTTATATTGTTGTTCCCGTGTCAACATCCTGCCCCTAACATCAAGCTTCTTTTATGTACACAACGTTTACGGATTAAGTTTAAAAAAAATTTAATAAAATTACTCCCTCTCACTCCTCTTTGATAGAGGCTTCCTTCTGCCTTTCACCTAGCTACCTTAAACTTAAGTTCCACAACTTTTTTTTGTTGAGCTGTTTTCATAACAGCCCGATATAAATACAAACTTTACAAAATGTATAAACTACTTTCAATTAATTAATCTTTTTATGTAAGGTTTTGGTTGAAATGAAAAAGTTAGTGCCACGAGCTGGATTCGAACCAACGACCTTCGACTAAATACGACGCTGCTGAGCCACTTGAGCCATCGTGACTTCGATCCACTCGGACACCATCACCCATCTCAACCTACAATCAATTCGAAAGGCTGTTGAGATGGGGAGTTGGTATCCAAGTGGATCGAAGTCACGATAGCTCAAGTGGTTAGAGTAGCGGCGTATTTAGCCGAACGTCGTGACTTCGAATCCCGCTCGTGGCACTAACTTTTTCATTTCAACCAAAACATAAAAAGATTAATTAATTGAAAGAAGTAATTTGGTCAATAGACCACGAAATATAATGGATGTATAAACTACGTTTAGGCTTTTTTTTAATGTTTGTAAATGATGCCAGAAAATAAGGATAAACGGTTTGCTTCGGTGAAAACAACTTAGATTCTAGTATCACAAGACTAGAACTAGCCTCGATGCCAAGAGGTTTGATAATGACTACAAAATCCATCAAGTCTCGAAGCAAAGAATCCCCTGCACCAGGAGCTTCTATTATCATGCTGGCACGTTAATATTCGAGTTCCTGGGCAACCTACTTAAAAACGTTTTATAAAAACAAAAAAATCAAGGAGGTTTCTGTAGCATGGTCTTGATGTACATCTTACTTTATCCTGATATAAATGTCTATAAATGTCTTCCTCTCCCTTCTTTAGTTTTTTCTTACTCTACCACTCTATATCCCGTTTGTCCTTAGTCCCCCCCCCCAAATGCTATATAGCACAATCGAGAAGTTTACTCACATTAGCAACTATCCACCTTACCCCCCTCTGAATTAATCCATCTCCAACGTCTGCACGTATTAACCACAGAATTGTTGCATTAATAAACAACTTCCCAGACGCCCCGAGCGGGAAGCAAGGCGTTTAATTGAGCAAGTTCTGCCAAGATTTCCAATTTGGGCGAATTCGGATACGGTTAAATTGTATTGTTCCTCGCAGGAGTTACGCAGTTCTGGGCTCGATCGGCTGTTGAAACGTAAAATATTCAAGAAATAGCCTTCCCGACATGGCTGCGGGGATCACGGGGTGATGGGAGGTCGTTTCTCGCTATTTTACCTCTTTTTTTAAGATTTAAACAACTTTTAATCCGTTTATATTCTCTCTTGAAGTATTTAATTATTTTTTATTGTCCTGCTCTACTGAAATAACAAATTGTTTAAAATATGGATGAGATTGTTTTGTCTTTAAAAAACAAAATTACTTTAAGACTTTTCTAAGTCCATTAGGCCAATAAATGATTCATGAACCGATCCGAAGTGCCAGGGCCTACAAAACATTAACAAATTATTATCGGAAAATTTTTGAAAGACAAATGCTTTTTAAGAAAATGTTATCTCAGTTTTTAACTTTCGCATCACGTCCTTTCTGATTCCCATTATCAACAAGGTTATTACGAGGCGACTTGTTTTTATTGTCTTTATTTCCTCAGGCTTTATTGAACTTGATGAGAAGAAGCTGGGGCGCTCAACGCGTTAGAATTGGCAAAAGGAAAAATAATAATAAAAAAGTATATCAAATAAAAATGATGGCTTATCTATCAAAGTCTGACTGGATTGGTAAGGGCCTTATGCGTTATGCATGTACCTTGTTAACTGGTCGGCCGCAAACAAAACAAAAACTTTCTCGATTTTTTTTAATTACCATAAATTTTGTTCGTTCTTTAAAACCGATATCGATCGAATATCTTTGTCAACGCATCCAACAAAAACTTAACTATTAACCATAACTGTAATCAAAGCGGAAAAGTTTGGTCTTCATCCAACTGACCGATCAGATTAGCCACGCCCACTTAATGATTTAACCTCTTTTACAACACCTTCCTAATGACATACACCTTGCACTAGGTACATCTAGCATTTAACGACAATGACCTGAATGGATAACATACTAGCCAATATACGACTTTAGCACCATTGGATAATATACCATTGAAATCATTAGCCGAATAACTGGTTTTAGCCACGCCCAAATTGACGTGAGTAGACGATTAACTGTCATTTAGCCACTCCCACATTGGCATCATTAGAACTTCATTGACCCATCCCTCTGGCATCATTAGACGATTATCTGTCATTTAGCCACTCCCACATTGACATCATTAGAACTTCATTGACCCATCCCTCTGGCATCATTAGACGATTATCTGTCATTTAGCCACTCCCACATTGACATCATTAGAACTTCATTGACCCATCCCTCTGGCATCATTAGACGATTATCTGTCATTTAGCCACGCCCAATTGACATCATTAGACATTAACTTTATTTAGCCATTACTTTGATACCATAGGACAATCACTGCCATCTAGCCATGCCCACTTTGCTATCATTAGGCTATATCACATTTTCCGCCCGCTTTGACACCGTTGGATGATTGACAGATTAACCAATTAACTATATTTTCGCAGGGGCCAAGGGACCTTGTCTAAAACACCTTAATTAACACAGTAAACGATTAGTAGAATCAAATGAAACTTTGCTCAATTATAACTAATTATCGAGGGCCTTGATCCTTTGGTAAAGGTTTTACTGCCGTTAAAAATTATTTCTGAACGCATTGCTTTATTTTATTATTATTTTTAAAAGAAAGTATAAATTGCAAATAGAGAATTGATTTTATGCTCGTAATCATTTAAACTTTGTTACTATTTAATGATGCGAGACGAAAAAATATTTTCTCAAACTTCTTTGGCAACTAACACTTAGTCGTTATTGAATTTAATATTTTGTTTTTCAGAATGAGGTGGATCCTGGTAGCTGTTTGCCTGAGCCTTGCTACAGTCATAGCATCAACTTCGGCACGATCGTCGGGCAACTACGCCAGGGAGGACAGAGGACGAAGCACGAGGGGCTTCAAAAACGGGCCGCTCAACACAGCGAGAGGCTTCGGAAAACGATCCCTGCAAGAAGACCTGTGAGTTTATTCGAATCGGGTCCGGCGCATCTCGCTTTGTTTTAGTACAGTCTCAGTTTATAGATCGATGTTCAGAAACATTCACAAAGGCATTCCATTCGTGAAGTTATGAAAATTAACAGCAGGGTTGCGTTGTAAAAATTACCGGGTCTGTTTATGTATGGTGAGTGAAGGGAGAGTAACAAAAACTTTTATAGCCGTTTTCATTCTTTCTTTTGACTGTAACGGACCCAGATAACATCCAACATCCATTAGAGTAACGTTTATAAAGGGCTAAAGGCACACTTTACGTCGTGCTTTTTAAAGTATTTCCCTATGTATCTGACAATTCGGAACTTTTCCCCTTTCTATTTCAAAAGGCACTCGGTTTTTACGAGCCTAAGTGGATGGAAAACGGTTTAACGACTGTTATCAAAATTTTTGAGAATTTTTTAATAAAAAAAGTCCTATTGCAAACAGATTTCCAGGATGGAGGGTACTCAGGAAAAATAACTTTTTTTGGTTATTCGTCGTATGCAATATATTTCAATTTTTTTTCCTTCTGTCCCCTCCTGTCAATAATTTGCAAAAGGCACTCTCGATACATTACAATATACGTTGACGGGCCCTTGAAAAAGACTCATGTCGACATTTTTTGCCCACGAAAGGCGTAGGGGAGTTGAGAAATGCCGCAGTCTAACCTTCCACCTCTTTGTTGTCGACACAAAATACCAGGGAAACCTTAAAGTAATTTCTATCTCACGCAGTCCACTTTATATATGTTTATTTTCACCCCATAAAAATAGAAACGGGGAGAGGGACGAAAGGTTTCCACCGAAAAATATAAGGAAGAAAGTGGAATTCGGAACAAAGTGGAGGGAAAATAAGGAAAACGTTTGAGCAGAAAACAGGGGATTCTAAATACATGTTTGAAAATCCTTTCGAAAAGAAACAATCTAGACCACGCCCAGCAAGTAAAGTCAAACGATTTAGCCACGCTCACTTTGATGCCACTCAGTCAAGTCAGATTACCCAGGCCACTTCATCGTTTCAATGAAAACGCAAATAAAGAAATGATAGGTTCTGCTCATAAATTATTGAATCCAGGATGGTTAGGGTTTTGTGTGTGTGTTCTAAATTCCAAAAAACAGTGTTCAAAAAAACAACTTTCACCAAATAACACAACCAAACAGGTAGACATACGGTTATAGTGTAACCGAACAGTACACGATTAGACCCTGCAGACAAAAACATTCTTAACAATATGGCTCAAAAACTTAAACGAAAGCTTAAAAAAACTACATGACTCAATCAGAAACTATCTACAAGATCTAACACCAGGCGAAGCCACTGACTACTCGCTGTGGAAGACCATAAAAAAATTAAAAGGCCAATCGCCCAAATGCCTCCATTAAAAAAAGAGGATGGTACTTGGGCTAGAGACAGCAGAGAAAAAGCCGAATTGTTTGCTAGTTGCTTACTTGAAGTAACAACCACGCCACAAGAAGAAAATATAAAGCTAGTTTCACCTAAAGAAGTAGCACAAGAAATTAAAAATTTACCTCCTAAAAAGACTCCAGGATATGACCTTATCACTGAAGAAATACTAAAACAATTTCCAAAAAAGGGTATAGTTAAACTAACATGCCTATTTAATGCTGCAATCAGAGTGAAATATGTTCCCAGCATCTGGAAATCCGCAGAAGTCATTATGATAAAAAAAACAGGAAAACCGGCGAACGAGGTCAAATCATATAGACCAATATCGCTACTACTAACAGTGTCTAAACTCTTCGAAAAGTTATTATTAAAACGAATAAAACACATCGTAGAAAAAAAGAAAATCATTCCTGACCACCAATTTGGATTCGGAACAAGACATTCAACAATAGACCAAATTCACAGAGTAACGGACATAATAGAAAAATCTCTTGAAGAAAAACAAATTTGTTCTGCTATTTTCCTTGATGTCTCACAATCTTTTGACAAGGTCTGGCACGAAGGAATCATCAATAAACTAAAAGGTATGCTACCAAGCAGTATGTCGATATTATCAGTTCCTACCTAGCTGACAGACTGTTTAGAAGTCAAACAAGAAGATCAATATTCAAAATTAAAAACAATAAATGCAGTAGTGCCACAAGGTAGCTTATTAGGTCCAATGCTTTACTTGTTATACACCAGTGATTTTCCGAAAATAGATGGAGTAAAAATTGCAACGTTTGCAGATGACACAGCGGTGATATCACTAGGACCGACTATCACCCATTCAACCAAAATCCTCCAAAATGCATGTAATAAGATAAACGAATGGACAAAAAAAAGAAAAATCAAGCTAAATCAGCATAAATCAGTTCATCTAAACTTTACAATCAAAAAGGTGGACCATTTTCCCTTGCTCACAATCGATGGAACTACCATACAGCAATACAGCTAAATATCTGGGAATGACCTTAGATGCCAAGCTGAGATGGAAAGAACACATGAAGAAAAAAAGGACAGAAATAGGTTTAAGGTATAGACAACTATACTGGTTGATAGGACGTGGCTCCAATCCTGCTATACAAAATAAAATATTATATAAACAAGTCATAAAGCCTATGTGGACATATGGTATTCAACTATGGGGTTGTACCAAACACATCAATATCAAAATCATACAAACACTCCAAAACAAAATCTTACGTAACATGGTCAATGCACCTTGGTATATGGAATAAGGACTTACAAAGGGATCTTAGATCCCTGAGGTCACGGCGGAAATACAAAGATTTGCCGCCAAACACCAGGCTCGCCTCAGCCAGCACGAGAATGTGGAAGCGACCAAACTCTTACATAACCGAAACATGGTCAGAAGATTAAAAAGAACAAAGCCATATGAACTTGTGTAGTTAAAATGAGTAGTGAATAGTGAAATATAAATCTTATTGTACCAATGGGTTTATAAGAATGTAAACATTTATTTATTCTATAATATTATTGCAAAATTAATGGTTGTTCTAGTAAGACCAGTTTTAATAAATAAATTTAATTTTTAAAAAATTCGGCCACGTGCAAATTTCAAAAATTAACAGCCAATTTGGTCTCGTTCATTTTTATATTAAAATTACGACCAGATTAGCAAAGTTCGAATTGAACTGATTGAACGATTTTTGACTAACTTAACCATCAACAAGTAGCCATGCTCCCCTTTGGCGTCGTTAGACTATTGACTGCTATTTAACCATGGCACATACTTCCCTGGTTCAATCCCCTATCGATACAGATTGGACCTTCTTGTCGTGTAAGAAAAATACACCGAGCTGGAGCGCCTCGTGATTCTTATCTGGGTAGTCCGGACACGTCGGCCTGGAGGATAGAGGTGTGGCGTTTAAAGTCGGGATGTCCCATTCTCCCGACCGGACCATCGCAATCTAACGCTTGCGAGCCATAAAAAACATTATAACAGAAAGATGGCAGCGTAAGTGGGCGAAATAAGAGCACGACGTGTAGATGGTGCTCCAAGAGCTGGAAAGGAGGAATCGTCCTTACCGATTAAAATAGGTCATACGCGGTTGACATCTGACACCTACTATGCCAAAGCCCGCACAGGTACCCCTTATACGGAGAAAAGTTGCTCAACGTGTCCAACATAATAGAAGCTTGTCTTACCTTGGCTCCTTACAGAGATCGTGTAGGCATGCTCCGGATTAAGGAATGGTTCTTGGCACAGTAGCTAGATTCTGAGTCCTCTGTTCCGCTTTTTAGAGGGTGTGGGGTGTTTCTAGTTAAGTGTGTGGTTCTGTGTTTTGTCTGAGTCCGTGTATTTATTAGTGTGAGTGGTGATACGAATTTAAACTTTGGCAAAGTGCGGCCCAAACTGCGCGTAACATCAATACGATTTAGTGGAGGGTAGTATTAGCGAATGCAAGGTGCAGCGATGCTTTTGACGACGACCAACTCAAAACGAAGAAAATTCACGTGAGACAGCCCGGGAAATAGCGGAAGAGCTTAGTGTTGACCATTCAACCGTTGTTCATCCTCTGTAGCAATGTAAAGAAAAGAAGCTGGAAAACTGTACCGCAAAAGCTAACCGAAGCCCAAAGAAATCGACTCATTGAAATTTTCACGTCTCTTCTGTTGCGCCGCAATTTCTCGATCGAACATCACGTGCGATAAGAAACGGATTCTGTACGATAACAGGAGGCGTACAGGTCAGTGGTTGGACAAGGATGAAGTGTCAAAACACTCACCGAAACCAAATCCGCATCCAAAAAAGGTTATGGTGACTGGTGGTGTACCGCTGGGGTTGTTCACTATAATTTCCTGAATTATGGGGAAACTATCACAGCAGAGGAATTGACAAAATGAACGGGAATGTCTTCGTCCAGTATTGGTAAACAGTAAGGGGCCGATATATATATATATATATANACGAGTCCTGCATAAACCTCTTGGACCTGTTTACAAACCCCAAGATTTTGGACCATTTTATCTTGGGGAGTGATTTGTCGATGTCCCCGAGTATTTTGGTTATGTCCTCTCCTTCAAACGTTTCAAATCTATCCCTGGCATACCTATCACATTCTGCGAGGTAGTGTCGAGCCGTTTCTTCTTTTCGACAGAAGCGGCAAAAGAGGTCTGGTAGGATACCCATTATGAAGAAGTGTCTTCTCAAGGGGCAATGGCCCGTTAGGATATCTATCAGCCTCCTAATTCCCCTCCTTGAGTTAGAGAATAACCATTTCGCTTCTTTTGGTTTGATGTCCTTCAGAAACTCCTTCGATTGCCTATGTCCGGGGGACAGATTCCATTCTTTCAGGAATTGTTTCATGCCCCAGCAATTAATACTCTCTTTCGCTGTGCTTATAGAGTGGGGTAATACCGGTTGTGGCTCGACAAACACGGTATTTGAGCCTTCTTTGGCCAGGCTGTCCGCCTCTTCATTGCCATAGTGCCCCTTATGAGCTGGTATCCATATGAGGGTAACCCTATTCTCGTACCTGGTAGTAATCCTATTAATAAGTTCAACGGTTTCCTCT